ATACTGATGTAAAAATGTATCATAAAAAATATCTCATGCTACTGAAGACTGGAAAATTAAGCTTTGCATTGACAGGAATAAATAACATTTTAAAATATAGTAAAATACAAAACGGTTATTTTAAATTGTAATAATATTTCACAATATTACTGATTGTACTGTATTTTGATCAAATAAATGTAGCCTTGGTGAGTATGAGTCTTATTTGAAAAAAATATATTGCCGATCTTAACAATCCCAAACTCTTGAACGGTACTGTAACTTAAATCATTATAGTGTATATACTGTTGTTTTTCAAATTTACTGAAATTGATGTTTTTGCACTTTCCTTTACTTTCAGTTTCAAATACAAAAACAGAAGCGGGTATGTTTCATGGATACTGTTGCAATAAGCCCCAAAATGCTATCTTAAAAATTACAGTTCCTGAATTTGTATGAATAATTGAATAAATGAATAATTGAATTTCTCACCATTCTTCCAGCTGATCCTGCTGAGCCCAGTGGCCAGGAGGAGAACCTGTGCAAGATCTGCATGGACTCCCCCATTGACTGCGTTCTGCTGGAGTGCGGCCACATGGTCACATGCAGCAAGTGTGGGAAACACATGAACGAGTGTCCCATCTGCCGACAGTTCGTTGTTCGAGCCGTGCATGTCTTCAGATCGTGAATTTGGGTGCAAAGAGACAGACTGTCCCCTACAGGTTGTTGCTTTTTCACACATTGAACAACATTTTCCCACATTTTTTGATTGTTTCATTTTGCTGCTTTGTGTCTAATTTTACATGATTGAATGCACTTATTTGCTTTTTTAACTGCAACAGTGTTAAGGTGTGGCTTCCGAGTTGTGTTTAATTCATTTGTTGACTTTTGCACTTTTTTGTTATTTATTGTTATTAGGATTTTTCCTTTATATCATCATACGATATTTGCATTACTTACAGTATGTAAATAATAAGCAAACAAGGTTTAAAGGAAAAAGTTCATTAGAGGTTAAGACATCACTTAAGACTCCCTAAAGGTGTGTCTATCTGTATAAAGAACACATTTAAAGGGGTGAAGTACACTTGGAAATTTCTGGGATGTGAAAACAGGTAAAATGGTTGACTTTAATTTTTATTTGGAGCACTGATTCTCATGTTGTTTCTGTGTTTAAGACTGTATAATATTTCACCATTGCAGTTAAATCACCACTATAATGTGACCACTTCCGGGGTCACTCCACTCTTAGTTAAAGAAATAGTTCACCCAAAAATGAAAATCCAAGGTGTAGATGAGTTTGTTTCTTCATAGGAACAGATTTGGAGAAATTTAGCATCACATCACTTGTTCACTAATAGATCCTCTGCAGTGAATGGGTGCCGTCAGAATGAGAGTCCAAACAGCTGATGACAATAAACCCCAGTCTTACAAATGAGTGATTTGTGTTTTTACAAACACACCACTTTTCTTCAGAAGATGTTAACTGATCGACTGGAGTTGTGTTGTAGACTATTGGGATGTTTTTATCAACTGTATGAACTCTCATTCTGACGGCACCCATTCACTGCAGAGGATCCATTGGTGAGCAGGTGATGTAATGATACATTTCTTCAAATCTGTTCCTATGAAGAAACAAACTCATCTACAAATTGAATGGCCTGAGGATGAGTACATTATAAGCACATTTTAATTTTTTGGGTGAACTATTCTTTTGAATAATTACACACACTACCAGTATTGGTACTTGTTTCTAGTGAGTAGGTGCTATTTTCCAGGCTCTGTGCGCTTCTAGATCACAGACCATTCCACTATCTCATACTTTGGTCTTGACTCCATATCTTAGGCAGAACCAGTACTTCCAAACTGCCAAGAAACCTTTTCAGGCTTGACATTTGCTTCAGTACATTCTTCTTTTTATTATACCGGTGGCTAGTTCTCCACCATTACTAGTAATACTAACTAAAAAGTCAGTGTTAGTCACAAGATGCTCATTACTGCCTACATTTATTGTTGCATGATAAAGTGTGTTAACCTAATAAAAAGTTTTCACAGAGTGATAATCATAACTACAATTTTTTTCAAAAAATGTAATGCTCATACTTATGGAGGAATGATGTTTTAATTATTCAAAAAGTACGATTAAAATTGCTAGTTTACGAATGCATCATAATTGTGGTTATATAGGAATGTTTTCATTTAAAAATCTTTGTCTGATGCATATCTCTGATTCCTTGCTTTCTTGAGCTGAATGTAGATGACACTGAGATCCATCTAAACCATTTAGTCCATCTCTAATACACAGATGATCTTCTGAACAAGATATCTGGCTTAAAAAGTTCAATCTTTTAAATTTTCTCAGTTATTATAGGAGAATTTTGACAGGATATGCAACGTGTACATATTCTATATTTTGATAGCTTTGTGTTTTATGTATTTGCATATTTATCAATCAAACAGCCACATGATAACACCTAAAAGATCTCGATTACTCACTGTTATTGTTTTACCGGTCATTTCAAATGTCTGGTCAGTCCAAACCCAGCATAAACGTCCATAACCTCCCGACAATATATTAAAAAGCTGATGATGAACAGACACGCAGCAAAAACTGTAAATTTCTGCTCAGTTGCGTGGTGCTTGGAGCTTTCATTTTGTGCTTTAACAGCTCTAGTTAAAAAACAAATAAATGGGCAGGATGAGTTTTACATGTTAAGTATACACCACTGTCAAAATCGAAGTAATTTATGTTATTTATGTAATAGCAAAGGTGCCCAAATATGTGTATGTGTATGTGCCAAGTGGAGTTATATCCCTTGAAATATCAGTAGGTTGTGTTGTGATCTGAAGATTTAAATATCTACACAAACGTGAAATATAAATGAAAATAAAAAAGAACTATGATCTAAAGCGCATTTTTGGAAGTTAAAGTGTCTTTGCAAATATATCTACATTGAATGCAGCACTAAGAAATTGTCTGCAACGAGAAATAAGACTTTAGTCAAGTGAAACTTTGGATGTGTATCTAAACAAGTATTTATTTGAAATAAAAAGAGAGTATGGGGGGGGGGGAACGTAAGAGCTCTGCATGGATGAGCAAAGAAAAGGATAATTGAAAGGTGCTTATAAATGCCTGAATGAACTTTTCCAGGTTGAGAGGAGACACTGGATTCTGTATTAACTTTTGTGTATCCTTTTGTTTGGTCTTGTATTTTTTTGATTTTTTGAGACTGTTTTTTTTTTTAACTATATGAAATATAATCAAATCAACTGATAACTCAAACGCTGTTCCAGGTGTAGTAAACATTTATCATATAACTTAGCATGTCATATTGCCAATATTGTGTTTAATATGCAGTGAGCCTGATGTGCTAAATGCTGTGTTCCTGTAAAACACTACATTGGAAGGTGATAAGGTTTATAATTATTGATCAATTTATATATTTTTTAATTTTGTTACTAGGCTTTATATAGTTGTTCTTGTGCAAATATTTGTTTTTGTTTTTTTGTATCAATAAACAAAACCTACAGCAGCTGAACATGTGTCACTCGGGATTTATTTGAATAACTATTCGGTTTTGATTCAATATCCAAATATAGATTTGATAGATATTTCTGTTTTCTGACTGCATTAAAATTGACTTTACAGTTTGCCGTTTTTACAGCAGGGGGAGACACAGCTCACTAATACGAAAGTAATTTAATAATTTCATACAATAAAGGGTAAAGTTAGCCTTTCATCTCTACAGTGATGATTCAAAACACTTGCACTATTAAATGTGCAGCCACTCTAACGTCAATCAGGGAAACAATTAGCACTAGCAAACCAATGGCTGTTTCGCGCACGTGCTTCTGTTTCTGGTAAGTAACCATAGAAACTGACCGGTGCGGATTCAGCAGTCTGCTGCTGTGATTTAGTTTTTACTGCTGGAAATTTATAACTATATTTACATGAATGTGGATTCAAAAACTTACAAATGATATCGTCAAGAAAGCGGGAGAAACCTAAGGTAGGTTGCTCAAACCTGCTTTGATAACATGTTATGAATGCTAACGCTAAGTAACGTTAGTTTTAATGTTAAAAGGCCGCTTGTCTTTACAAGTTTCAGGTTTTAATATGTATGTTTCTTCTGGTTTTGTGATGTTCAATCGGAGTCAGCCGTAAGTAAGTGTAAGTGATGAAAATGTCAGCCGTAAGTAAGTGTAAGTGATGAAAATCTCTAGGGAGAGACTTGGTTTTTCCGTGTGATCAACTGTTTCGTTTCTCGTGCTGTTAAAATAATGGAACAAATCAAAACCAATGAAGCGTTTATCACTTTGTAGATCAGCAAGATGCTGCATTCACCATCTGTGGAGAAGTCTGTAAGTGTGATCATCACATAAAAGCCTCAGAAGTGGAAGACGGGTGTAATCCTAAAGGATCTCAGCTTGAAATGTGAATGTGAAAATAATTTGTGCAGTATATGAGCCACACTGTGCATTTTTATGAGGTCTCTGCAGATTTGAACTGTAAAGTTCAAATTACAATTGTAAAATAATGCTTAGAAATGTATTAAATGTTTTAAATTTAAATGATGAATGAAAATGATAAAAGATGAAAAAAAGAGCAAATGATCGATTATGCCATATAGTTGTATAGTTTGAACAACAAAAGAGATCATTTTATTTAAAAAAAAATAAAAAGCCCATTAAAAAAGCCCGGTAAAGCTCATTAATTTTATTTGACTATACAAAATATTTATTTTATGCTTGGGCTACCCACTAATAAAAAATTTAAAAAAAAAAAAATTATATATATAATAAATGATTTTTTTATAATAATAATTACATTATTATTATTATTATTATTATTATTGGCTATTTAAAATAATGTTTTCCCCCTTCTTACAGCAGGGGGAGACACAGACATTAAATGAAAAATAAATAAATAAAATAATAGCTAAAATATGCCCTAATTGTAGAGGTAGCCTTTTATCGCTGTAGTAATGTTTTATAATTCAGTGCAGCTATATATTAAGTTTGTAGTTTCCTTTGTTTACATCAGTTCCTGCGATATGCGGTTAAAACGCTCTCGCTGACTAAGCTCGTTAACATTTTCTGCTCGCGCTCCTCTCACCTTGATGAAGTCGGAAGAATGATCGCATCCCTGTCTAAAGGAAATCTGCTTGACGTGTTGCAGGAGGGTCCCAATGAGGTACTGAACTCCTAAACCCTCGTGTCTGTTTACACGTACATTTGTTTCATTTGCTCATTGGGCTCTGACAAGTCCAGGCTCACTAAAAAAGTTAAAAGCAGTATCTGTCGCAAGAAACTCCGAAGAGTGCGATGGCATTGCATTGTTTACACCTTCTGTGAGTTGTTACTGAAGAACAAGTTACCAGGTTCTATCGAATGTAGTATTTCATGCACTGGATCCATTTCATCGTACAATTTAGTTTACAGTCAATGTTTACATTCTGCATTTATATAGGCTATTTAAATCAAATACCAAATATAAAGTATATGCATATTTATATTATATACTTACGTTATATAAATGCGATTTCGTAAGAATTATAGTGGCAGAAATCCTTTGAAAATAATGTTTTACATAAAATTATAAGTATTGAAATGTTTTACATATGCAGTTATCAGTACTGGAACTGGTTGATTGGAGTGAAAGTCTATAAGACCTACAAACAGTGAAGGAAAGTCTTGACGGCTGTTAAGCAAAAGGAGACACAATCCTATTTAATGCCACACAAATATAAATATATGTATATTATATGTGATGTGTATATATGGCCGGAGGAGAACTGGCCCCCCGACTGAGCCTGGTTTCTCCCAAGGTTTTTTCTCCATTCTGTCACCGATGGAGTTTTGGTTCCTTGCCGCTGTCGCCTCTTGCTTGCTTAGTTGGGGACACTTCATTTCCAGCGATATCGTCGACTTGATTGCAAATGATTGCAAAGATACTATTTAAACTGAACTGAGCTGGACGATGACATCAGTGATGAACTGCCTTTAACTGAGAATTGAGTGTTTACTATTGTCCTTTTGCATTGACACACTATTGTCCTATTTTGATACTGTAAAGCTGCTTTGACACAATCTGTATTGTTAAAAGCGCTATAAAGGTGACCATTGCATAAATATTGTGTTGAAAATAATGTTGTTAAATTATGAAAATTTAGAAAATATATTATAAACATTGAAACAGGAAATGATGAATGAAAATGATAAATAAAAATAGTAAACTATTTTAAACAACCCAGTTTGCACTATAACAGCGATTAATTTCAGTTGTTTGTTAGCAGTAAAATGCCAGTAACGGTCCAAACAGAGAAAAGGATAGTCTTGATAGCTGTTAAATAATGTGATACACAGTCCTACTAATGAGCTGCTAACCTTGACTATTTTTGGGCAGCATGCTAGGCTTTGAGACACAGTCAGCCATTGTGTTGTACATGTAGTCAGCTATGCTTTCTTTGATATATTTTTAAAAAAAATAAGTGTATAGTGCTGGATTAGTTTATATTTTCGTTAGAATAACACAGTAGTCTTTTAACTCGCGTATAATTTATATGCAGGAACTACCTCTGTGTTAAAGCCCTTTTAACCTGTGGAGATAATATCATGCTCTTAGAAATGGTGCTAAGTGTGGGAGGGGGTGTTAAGCATATTATGCCATTTCTGTAACCGTGTGCGCTATCAGCAGTCATCCCTAACTGATGTTACCTAAGACAGAGTGCTTCTACATCTGTATGCCCTCAGGCTGTAACCATTAAACCGTCAAGCATTATTGATTTTTTGTTATGAATCCCAGCTGTCTCAATCTCTACAGATATTTCAGGTCCACCTAGCTTAAAGGTGAGAATACAGCAGACTCCAGTGATGGAGATGTACCCGTCTGTCGGGTCGCTGTTGGAACAGACAGCTCCTTTGTAAAGCTGGCTGCGCAGGACTATTGCTACCTTCCAGTTTTACAGCCATTGTGTTGTACATGTAGTCAGCTATGCTTTCTTTGATATATTTAAAAAAAAAAAAAAGTGTATAGTGCTGGATTAGTTTATATTTTCGTTAGAATAACACAGTAGTCTTTTAACTCGCGTATAATTTATATGCAGGAACTACCTCTGTGTTAAAGCCCTTTTAAACTGTGGAGATAATATCATGCTCTTAGAAATGGTGCTAAGTGTGGGAGGAGGTGTTAAGCATATTATGCCATTTCTGTAACCGTGTGCACTATCAGCAGTCATCCCCAACTGATGTTACCTAAGACAGAGTGCTTCTACATCTGTATGCCCTCAGGCTGTAACCATTAAACCGTCAAGCAAACCATTATTGATTTTTTGTTATGAATCCCAGCTGTCTCAATCTCTACAGATATTTCAGGTCCACCTAGCTTAAAGGTGAGAATACAGCAGACTCCAGTGATGGAGATGTACCCGTCTGTCGGGTCGCTGTTGAAACAGACAGCTCCTTTGTAAAGCTGGCTGCGCAGGACTATTGCTACCTTCCAGTTTTACATCACAGTTAGCATCTTACAGTGCATCTGTGCTGAAAGCTCTCAGTGTTAGCTGTTCTTACTGGGAAGCCTGTCACTCTGGGCCACTGTTAGATTATAGTGAGACAGATATGCTTCAGACAGAGCTTGCATTGTGTTAGTCAGCCCACCATGTGGCAAATCAATAAATGCTACTGTGTGCATGAAGAACCCTCGTGAAAAACATGCAGAGCTCATTTTGTTTTCTTTATTTTGGTGTGCATGTGCTTTTCTTGACCGTGCACGTGTTGGCATATGATGTGAACCTCGACGTTGCTTCGGAGGTTGAGGCCCATGAAAGATTTTCCCACAGTCTTCCAGATTAATAGCAGAGTGTGTTTTGTAAAGGTGTGACACTTGATGTCATGCATGTTCAATTTCTGTCATGCACTACCATTCAAATGTTTGGAGTCTGTAAGGTTTTTTTTTATGTTTGCGAAAGAAGTCTTATATTCTTCTATGCTGATGTAGTGCACAAGAAACATGCTTATTATTATCAATGTTGTTGTGCTGCTTAATATTTTTATGGAAGCCGTGATGCATGATATATTTGAAGAATAGGAAGTTGAAAAGAACAGCATTTATTTGAAACCAAACTCTTTTATAACATGAAAAAATCTTAACTCACTTTTGATAAAATTAATGCATCCTTGCTGAATAAAAAAAAAATGCATATCTTTCAAAAATCTATATCTTGCTGATCTTTTTAAATAGATCTGTTTAAATAGTAGTGTATGTCACATATGAGAATCGTTTAAAAGAAAAGCTCAGAATATCCTAAACTGTTTTAGGATGGGGGGGGGGGGTTAGTTTTGAGCCGCAGCACTTTTGCCAGAGGGTAGAAGTGCGTCAAACCTCACTGCAGTCTTTATGTGTTCCTACATGTATTTGCTGAAGAGGAAGCGTGAATATGGGGAGTTAAGCTGTCCTTTTGTGACATGGCAGAGAAAGTGCAAGTCAGCCTAATCCACGCCGTTGAACCCGGGTGATGCTGACCAGCCGGGGTGAATGAGGAGGGACTTGTTCTGTCAGAGCAGGTGCATCTTGATCACTGAGGCATACATTTCTTTTGACAATGGGTATCCTAGTGGGTATCAGCACAGGCATATCCTGCATAACCTCTCCATCAGGAAAGACTAGATAGTCCATAAGCTTTTTTGGGGGGGGGGGGGGGGGGTTAGTTTAGAGCGCAGCACTTTTGCCAGAGGGTAGAAGTGCGTCAAACCTCACTGCAGTCTTTATGTGTTCCTACATGTATTTGCTGAAGAGGAAGCGTGAATATGGGGAGTTAAGCTGTCCTTTTGTGACATGGCAGAGAAAGTGCAAGTCAGCCTAATCCACGCCGTTGAACCCGGGTGATGCTGACCAGCCGGGGTGAATGAGGAGGGACTTGTTCTGTCAGAGCAGGTGCATCTTGATCACTGAGGCATACATTTCTTTTGACAATGGGTATCCTAGTGGGTATCAGCACAGGCATATCCTGCATAACCTCTCCATCAGGACCATCAGCACTAATGATAACTGTCTTTCCAGGGAGGTATGCAGTTTAACAGCACACAGAGTCATTGGCTCCATTGAGACTTGTGATTTTTGCTTAAGCTGTATGACATCCTGAGGAAAATAACCTGATACTGTGACTGTAGCATAGATGAGGTTTTGTTTAAATTGCAAAAATGTCCATTTTGGAAGCATCAGTAAATCCAGGAAAAGGTGGAAGTAGCAGCTATATAATGTCCAACTAGTTGCAAATTTTCTATACATGCATATTAGGGCTGAACGATTTTGGAAAATAATCTAATTGTGATTTTCTTTTTTTTACCAATATTGCGATTGAGATTTTAATATGCAATTATTTTTTTTTAACTCTTTATGTTCTGTATTATTCAACAAAGACAAGCTATAAATCATTGTATAGTATGCCCAACACACTATTAGATAGATTAAACATGAATGTTATTTTCTGTAGGCCAGGCCTATATGTTACGATGAAATTAGGTGATGCATGAATTGATATGAATGACATTTTTATTTAACAACTACAATCAGTACATTGACTAGTTTGTTGAACTTCCAACCTTGTAAGCATGTAATAATTATGTTTAAATAAGCCTGGTGTAAACATTAATATGAAAGTCAGTAACAAATCACACAAACTAAAGTAGATTGCAGAAATATAAAAACAAATCTGTTGCTTTACCACACTACTTTAGGTAATTCACAGTCACTGTAATAAACATATGTAAACATGTGGACTGCACTAAACACTGTCTGTTCACTTTAGACCAGTGGTTCTCAAACTTTTTGGTCGCGCCCCCCTTTAAGCCTATAAAAAAAAATCTGCCCCCCTTTCCCGAATCCCCATCCCACCTCAGACTACCAAATAATTTCACTAAACATGAAAAATTTATACTTTTTTTTTTTTTATTTAAAAAACCTACAGGGAAAAAAACACCTGCATCACTTGAAACATTGAAAAATAGCATAGAAAGAATAACTTATTATTATTATTCTCTTGCTGTTATTTATTTCTTTTTTGTGGGTTTCATGCTGTCCGCTAAGGCATAGGACACACACAGGCTTTCCTCCTCACCAACGACATTAAACACCGTGTCTACACCAGACGCCAGCGGAAAATACAGTAGAACCCATTATAATCAGTGACACTGTGTACACTGGATGCGATGCTACACGACAAAACCCGACATTAAACTGATGCCTTGTTCTATTTATGTCGTACTGACACAAAGTTAAAATGATTTGCAGCAGTCGCTTTGTCGCGTACAGTGTAGAGTCTGGTATAGACACAGTGAGTGAAGCCGAGAGCAAGATATGCCTCGTCATATTTTCTGCATTTAGCTTATAAATGACCAGCACCTGCCTGGGTCTGTGCGACTTCATCTATGGCTTTTCTCTTCGCTTTCACAAACCGATCCATCTCCCATTCTAAGTTACGTCCTTTGGCTGTTTACCGTTTTATTTCTTTTCTTTTTCTGCTGATGGCCTGCGCTCGACTTGTAGCAACAGTGCTGCTTAGACCAATGGGTGTGTGTCATCAAAGTACTGAGAGAGCTATAAGAGATGACATATAAGGAGACGCTTTCTCTCGCCGTACTTTGATGTCATGCACAGTACACCGATCTGATCTTCAAGTCGAACACACCTCTTTACTCTC